TTATTTACACATGGTGATATAGATGTATCATGATATTTTATGAAGTAAACTATAACTACTACATATTCAAACCATGTAAATATACTAGTAATTTACGAGGCAAGTCAAGAATGTGTTGGGCTAATATCAATGACCCATCATATCGCAAAGACATGCAGTTTATCTATTAATAAAGAAGTTCTAACAATATTATATGAAGATATTGTTTCTTGCATAATTCAATTAAATGAAGAATACATCAAAGTGATAATCGAGCAAACTTATTCATTAAAGCATTACCTACAATAACTTTTAAAAAAATAGTTCGCAAGACCGAGATGCATCATCTTAAAGATCTTAAATAATGTTTTCAACAAAGGGAGTCCAACATAAAGATTAATATGTAAAAGGAATATTGTGCTCTTTTTCCTTCGCTAGGATTTTTTTCCACCGAGTTTTTTTCCTAGTAAGGTTTTAGCGAGGCATGTTCCTTATACGATGGACATTCAAGGAGGAGTGTTATAAAATAATGAATGTCCATTTCATATTTTCACTTGCTCATGTGATTCAATTCATATTTCTATATGAAAAATTAAAAGAGTGAAGCAATTGACTTGATTATTTGTATACCTTTTTTAAGGGTTCATAGTCCCTTCCGATTATCTACCTAATCTTAAAGCCTATAAATAGAGTTGATTGTTTATTACTTTGAGTAGATGTGTTTTGTACAAATTTAGAGAATTATTTGAAGTTATTATCTTTTGTATTTACTTTATTTTATAGTGAATTCATTTTTCTATCATATTTCTCTTCAATTCTAATATTGTTACCATTTCTTTTATAACACAAAATGAGTTTTGTCCATTATTTGGGTTGTATTTTTTAAATTATTTTTATTGAAAATTTGTATTTTTTTTTTTTTATGTTGATTGAGTTTTTTTTTAATTTTTTTTTATTATTTTCTTTCTTTTAAAATGTTTTTTTTTATAAGCTAATATGATACATTATATTTTTGAATACATATCTTGCATCATACAAGGGATCTCAATTGAAAGATTCAATCAAAAAAATTCAAAGAATATGATATGTCAATCAAAACAATTCAAAATATAAAAGAACAAACTTTTTTTTTCATTTTATTGTTTTTTTTTTAAGATTTGATCTTAAATTTCGTGAAACTCGTTATATGCGAGACTCTATCACAATAAAATTGTGAAGAGTATTTGTTTTTTTTTTTTTTGTAAAAAAATATTATAATAAGTAAAAATAATAAAATACTTACAAAATGAACCTAATATGCATTTTTTTTTAAAAAAAATAGAATACAAATATGTTAATCAAAATTAAAATAAAAACAATTACTAGCTAATTATCTATGTTAAAGAAAAAAAATACGATGTAGTTTCTAATTTTTTGAGAGAGCAACCCTGTTTTTAATTTTAAATTGGTCAAATTTTAGGAAGTTATTAGTTTTAGTGGAAGATTAAACCCATTAATTAGGGATCCGTGGCTGATCGATATTACAAATCACTATATTTTTGTTTTAATAATTACATTTTAGGGTTTTTTTTGTCCGTATTATATTTTCATTTTTATAAAACAATAACATGAAAAGTTACAAAAAAAAAATTAGTTTCTATATTTTTTGAATTATTTTGATTTAGTCTTTTTATTGGAGTTTTATATATAACATGTGTCATGCATTCAAGAATATAACGTGCTATGTCAGTTTACAAACTAACAATGTCGTAATGGAGCTAGGGACAATCACAAAACAAAATAAAAAATGAAGGGACTCAATCAAAATAATTTGAAAAGTATAGATACTGTATAAAGAGCAAAACCCCTTTCAAAATTAAAAAGTCACTTATTAACCCTAGTACCCATTTTCGAATCATGCATGTGAATGATTTTTTCATCCTAGCATATTTGTCCTCTCAGCACAATTCCTTACCTTATGAACCAGAAAAGGGGGAAAAGAGAGTGTGTGCTAGACACTTTATCTTGTTCGCATGTAGTGACATTCACACGGTCGATTCGATTTCTTGAGGAAAAGACTGAAATTAAATCAGAAAATAACAGGGAAAAAGAAAAATTTATTGATAAATGGTATATTTCTCATTTCGTTCTCTTTACCAATTTCATTACCTGTTAGAATTTTCTTCCTTATTTTTCTGTTGTCCTTGAATGTTACAATTTTGTCTCCCAGTTTTCTTTCCAATGTACATATGTGGTGACTGATCTTATACATTTTTACAGTTGGCTTTGCAGGTTATTTTTTAGTCTGAGTGTACTTTTGAACCATTCAGCAGAAGCTTTTGGTATCCTTGTAAGATTGTTTCTGTAATCCACAAAGTAGAGTCCAAACCGGACGGTGTAGCCTGAGTTCCATTCCCAGTTGTCCAGCAAAGACCATGCAAAATAGCCTCGAACATCACAACTGTCTTGCCTGCATTGATTAAGTTTTTTTGTTAACTTGCCGGAATGCGCAATGCTTCAAACAGAGAACCCAATTTTGAAGCCAAAAATGTATGAACCTAGCACAGTTGCGATTACCTTATAGCTGCAGAAATGTTGGAGAGATAGTCCCTGTGGTATTCTATTCTCTTCTCGTCCTGTAAGGCCTTGTTTAAAGATATAAACGGCGTATTCAGATCATCCATTCCTGCAGTCATGAAGACAGGTTTATGCAATAATTCTAAGTTTTAGAATAGTAGCATTGAATTAAAGAGTGAAATACTTGCCATTTTCTGTTATAATCACCGGTGGATTCCCATACTTATCTTTCACATATTTGAGCAACTTACGGATGCCCCAAGGGACAATGCGTAGCCAGCGGGAAGCTGCCTGGAGGAGGAAATACAATTGTGAGCTAACTGACTTTAATTTGAAATCTATAACATAATCTTAGGGGTCAGTAAGTTGTTGGGACATACTCGTTCTCCGATTGCAACCCCACGTCGATAAGCTGCAATTGAGGACATGGACAAAGGTAGTCAATTCATTGCCTGATTATGAGTTCTTTTCTTTGAAAGTACAGAACACTTTGATATATTACCGGTAGTAATCACAGCAGCGTCGGACGATGCATCCTGCAATATTAGTTTCCGAATCCTTGTCCTGTCATTCCGAACATATAATGTTGTGTAATGATTTATGCCAATGAAGTCCAAAGAACCAACCAAGAGTTTCGACATCCCTCGAGAGATCTCAGGTAGTCTTTCGCCAACAAGCTTTTCCATTGAGAGAGGATATTTTCCTAAGAAAAGTGGATCCAGGAACCTGATACGTTTGATTTGTTAATTATGCTCATAAAAGCAAATTGATTCCTTCTCAAATATTGTGAACATAAGACACTTGCCATCCAATTCCGAAATCCATTGCTCTTTGTGCCGCTTCTTTGTCCTCTTCAAGATCAGATATTGGTTCATGCCACTTGGAATCTAATGCTATTCCGATTTGACCTCCTTGTTTTCCCTGGAAGAGAATATTTTCTATCAGCTTTTTTCTTAAAAGAATTGATAAGATCATCATTTCTAAGCAAAATCATCACGGTTATATGCAGGAGTACCTTGAAATGTAACTGATAACAACGATAAGCAGCAGCATGTGACAAGAGGATGTTGTGAGCTACAATGTATGGTTCAATGGATGAATTCCCCCTCTTACAAAGCAAATGACCGATAACAGAGCATCTTCCAGGAGCTTGGATGCCAGTGTCGTAACCTTGAATTGAGAAGCCATGAGGCTCGTTGAAGGTGATCCAGTGTTTTACTCTGTCTCCGAAGGCTTGGAAGCAAGTGAAGGCATAATGCTCAAAGTCGTCTCTGTAAGTGATTCATTTGCTTTTTGTAAAGCCTGAGTATATTCTCAAAACATGCTACATCAGTTTCAGACTTTTAGTAGATGGAGCATTACTTACACAATTTGTTTGCTCAGCCATCCTTCGTATATATCTTCAAGCATCTGTGGAAGATCCCAATGATATAGCGTTACATAAGGCTGGATTCCTGATCGAAAACAACGGCTAAAAGTTCGTCACTGCTTTAGTTTAACGAAAAGAAATCTGATTTCCAAGCGATTTTTTTTATCTATGAACGACCTTTTTCTAGTAAAGCATCTATGAGGCAGTTGTAGTAATTTATCCCTTCTTGATTTGGCACCCCTGTTCCATCTGTTAACGGTAGATTCGAAGCCATTCAGTGAAAAATAGATGGCTAAAGAAGAATGTAAAACGAAATTTCTGGACCCGATTGTAACTTACTAGGAAAGATTCTTGGCCAAGATATTGAAAATCTGTAGGCATCCATTCCCATGTCCTTCATCAAATCTATATCACCCTGCAAAAATCTATGCTTTGTTATCTCTTCTGATAAATCTTAGTCTAGCATTTTAGAAAGAGACAAAACTCCAGAATTTACTATTGGTTGCTGATATTTTCCCTTTCTTCTTTCTTTTATTTGTTTATTTTTTCCTCAAAGACACTTGTCTTCTTACAATTTCTTTACGTATTTTCCATTTTTCAAAAGGTTGTTAACACATCATCATCATCATCTCACCACCCCAATACATAATTATATTTTATTAGTACATATGTGAAAATTTTGTTGAAGATTCTTATCCCCATGGATTCTCTGTCCCCAACCATTGAGCGTGTGTTTAATTAATTTCCCACTATTGTTCAATGAACAAAGCTCACCAAATAATAAAGATTTTCTGTTTAAACTGCCCTATCAAAGATAATCTCCAAATAAAATATTAAATTAATAAAACAATAAAAAAAATAAAAGATTAAGAAAAGCGTTAACTTAATGACTTATAGGTCAACTACAACATGTTTGGAAGTTGCTCAGTTAATGTAATCCAGTAATTTACCTTAAACCGGTGATACTGATCAACGGCTGTATCTGCATTGCTGAAGTCCAATATCCTTCCTGTTGAAGCACATTCATAATTAAACAGGCAATTAATTTGATGCTAATCATTTCTTTCCTGTCAAAGTTTCTGCAATACTGAATATTTCAACTCCCTTCAAACTTGAGCCTTTCTTCACCTGGTTGCCTTATGAAAGTATCCCATATGCTATCTCCCTTGTTTCCTTCGTTCACAGCTCCTTCAAACTGCCACGAAACACAACACATAATCATTGAATTCTGTCATAAATGTGTATACAGTGCAATAATTCATGCATTGAGTATTAAAAAAGACAGCAGTACCTGATAAGCAGAAGAGGCAGTCCCAAATGCGAACCCACTAGGAAAATCAGCCCTACTAATAGATTCTGATTTTACGAAAAGGCATGTTGTTAAGAAGGATATCATGAGGACTAGTATGATATTAGTCATGGTGAACAAAGTTACTACTATTAGATATAATTAAGTAGGTGAGGATTTCAATTTATAGTAGAAGTTGGAAAGGTGAAGAATATATATATATAGTCGAAGAACAAATGTGTGAAAAGGATGGACATCTGGGTTTCTCTTGAACAGGAAGATGATCATTGGGTAGGTTGGGGTGGCTTGTGGAGGTTGGCAACTGTCTTTGCCTCCTTTGTTTGCACGTTAGTGTAATAGAAAGAATAAAAAGAAATTGACACATTATATTATCCAGCTTAAAAACAGGGAACCTTCGGTTCCATGTTTTAAAAGGACAAATGTGGAGGAATTTTGAAGGACTTGCTGGAAAAAAAATGGGTGATGTGATGTGACACATACGATAAGTCAATAAGCAGGAGCTCTTTGCTTATTCATTTTATTTCTTTAAAATGGGGATCGAAGGATGTTTAAAAAGTTTATCTGGTTCTGATAACTACGATGATCTGTGTGTCTAATCCATGGTGGATTTTGTTGAAGAAATTAGAGGCGTGAATGGATTGCTCCTCCTACTTGTACCCTCTATAAAATACAAATTTGTGGGTGCATGAATTGCGGTTAAAGAAAGCATGAAAAATGTTTATAAAAATCGAAAAATGGTCCAATTGGATAAAATATTGCGCAAGTCTTGACTTAGATATCATGAGTTGACAAACATCAGCTTGTAAGATGAGCATAAAACGTACAGACAAGTTTTGCTTGTTGAACAGAGGTTCTTGAGAGTTGAACGAACACGTTTGGGCTCCTTTTTCCTCCAACCTAAAGAAAAGCAGACAAGTAAAATTAATTCCCTCGTTCTAATCGTGGAATTATCAAAAAGCAAGCTATGTGGGATAATTCAGTCAGACAGTGAAGATTGATTACAATTTTTGTAAGGCCGATCCTAAGCAATGGTGATGGTTGCTTGTTTCTGGAACACCATTTCGTCAAGGAACTGCCTCCCAAGAATCTGTTATTTTTTTGAGATGGCTTCTTGTAACAGTTTGCTTACTATTACTATTCTTGAAATGTTGGCTCGTGTAGTAAATGAATTCATTCCCGTATTATTATTTTGGGTTGGAATCCAAAATAAATCCACTAGAAAGAACATATTTTCGTAAATCGATGGAAATGAATTGTCTAAACCCGATGAAAAAATTGATATTAGTCTCCATTGGTCTGACAAAACAATTTCAAGAAATTCAATGGATTATGTTCATGGTTATGAGGATTTTTTTTTTATTGGATTTAAATTTTGAAAACAGCATTCATAAGAATTTATTAATTTTTTTTTCAATTTTATCAAATCAATGTAGAAAGTTGAAAAAAAAATTGTCTAGGAGAAAAAAAAAATACAATCTTAATTATGTTTATGAAAGCTAGTGCACATTCTAACCAATGCAATCAAGATGAATTTGAGACAAATATGTTACAAATTCTCCCATTCTTTTAAGAATTTCATCCTTGAAATTAAGGTTAATATCCTCACATGTTTTTATCTAATAGTTCAATTTTTCAATTCGTCTCTAAAAAAAAAGGCCTCTAATTTGACCTTATATTTTGAGCTAGTTTTTAATCTAATCTTTTAGTTAAAATTTTTGACTTAATTAAGCCAAATTAAGCATGTGATTTATTTATGGCATGTGAATAGATAAAATTATCTTTGTTATTTGATGCAAGTAATCTATATCTACTAATATGAAGATTAATTTCTGAAAATTGGATGGAAATTTTGACCAAAAGAATAGATTAAAAACAAGCTCGAAATATAAGGACAAATTGGAGGCCTTTTTTTAGAGACATATGAGAAAATTGACCTATTATATAAGGACATGTAAGGGTAATAACTCTTGAAATTAAATACATGTTTATGTAAACAAGTACGGGTACTCTCTTCTCATATTTTCTTTTCTTTTGTTTCCCATGTAGCCTCTTCTTTAGAATGATTTCTCCATAAAATCTTTATCAATGGAATGATCCGATTCCTTAGTCGTTTGAAATTTTGATCAAGAATCGCTACGGGTTTTTCTATATACCTCAAATTATTTATAATTTCTATCGGTTCATTTCTCAATATGTGTGAAGGATCCGATCTATAACAACGAAACATACTAACATGGAAAACATCATGTAACCGTGGCAACTCTAGTGGAAAGGTTAATCGGTAAGCAATTGAGCTAATCTTTTCAAGTACTTTGTAAGAGCCAATGTTTTGAGTACTTAATTTGCCTTTCTTCCCAAATCTAATTACTTCCTTCGTGGTGAAACTCATAGGAATACTTTATCGCCAACCTTATATTGGCTCAATTGCTTTAGAAGGTCTAGTTTGTAAGAGCCAATGTTTTGACTACTTAATTTGCCTTTCTTCCCAAATCTAATTACTTCCTTCTATGGTGAAACTCATAGGAATTACTTCTTTGGTGTTGATCCGTATTACTTTTCTCGCTCGTCCTACACGGATTGAAGTTTGCTTTTGACAACTTTCACCTTTTCCATGGTTTCTTTCACTTACTTTGGACCTTCTAAAGTACACATGTCCTCTTCATCCTAATAAACTGGACACCTATATTTTTTCTGCATCATGCTTCGTATGGTGCCATACTAATGTTGTTATGGTAGTTTGTTATAAGCAAATTCTATTAAAGCAATGTAATCTTTTCACTTACCTTTGAATTGAAGCACACGAAGCCGGAAACATGTTTTATAATATTTGAATAGTCATATTTGATTGTCCATTTATCTATGGATGAAATGTTGTACCAAAATGTAGTTTGGTACCCAAATCCTATTGCAAGCTCACTTGAAAACAAGATGTAAATCATAGATCTCTATATGATATTATCGACATTGGCACACCATGTAATCTCAAATTTCATCAATGTATCTCTTGGTCAACTCGCTTAAGTGTACAACCCATCTAATATGTAAGAAATGAGCTGATTTGGTTAATCGTTCAATAATGACCCAAATAGCATCATTCTTCTTTGAGTTTTAGGCAATCTAATCACAAAGTTCATGATGATTCTCTCCTATTTCCGATCGGTAATAGATAGCGATGCCAACTTACCCATCAAAGCTTGATGTTTAACTTTATTCTATTGACAAGTAAGATACTTAGAAATATAATCAACAACATTCTTTTTCATCTTGTTCCACCAAAAATGAGTTCACAAAGTTTGATACATTTTTGTACTTGCTAAGATACATGGCATGTGGTACATTGTGAACTTTCTCTAAATTTTCCTATAAAGACCATCAATGTTTGGATCACAAATCCATTCACCAATAATCAGTATACCATTAGCTTGGATGAAAAAATCTATAGATTTTTCTTGTTTAACCTTTTCAACAATTTTAGCCATTTGAGAATCTCAACACCTAGCCGTCTTATTCTTTCATCCAATATAGGTCGAACCTTGAATGTAGCTAACGTGACTATATTATGATCCATATTCAATTCAACATTCATGGCTCTTAAATCAATAAAGTAATGTAAAGAGTGTACCTCTAAGCATGCATCGGTACTACTCGTTAGATTTTACACTCAAAGCATCGCCTACAACATTAGCTTTCTCGGGATGATACTCTATGGTGCAATCATAGTCGTTCAATAACTCTAACCATATCCTTTGTCTCATATTCAATTCTTTTTTACTTAGCAAATATTTTAGACTTTTATGGTCCGTAAAGATCCGAAATGTCTCACCATATAAATAGTACCTTCAAATACAAATATGACAATAATAAGTTCCAAGTCAACTGTGGGATATAGTCTTAGTTATTTAGATGTAAATGCGATTACCTTATTTTATTACATCAAAACATGATCCAAACCTTGATGTGAAGCATCATTGTATACCCCAAATCCATCGAGTTGCATTAGGGTTTGCAAGTATTGAAGCTAAAATCAATTGAGCTTTCAATTTTATAAAACTTTGTTGACACTTATCGATCCACTAAAATTCCGCATGTTTCCAAAGCAATTTTTTCAATGGCGCTGCTATAATAGAAAATCCCTCTACGAACTATTTGTAATAGCCAACTAAACTTGAAAAACTTTAAACTTTTGTAACATTCTTCGAGTGGTTCCCATTTGATCACAATTTTAATTTTTTTAATTCACTTTAATACCCTCACGGAAACAATATAACCAAGAAATACCACTCGATCTAACCGTAACTCACATTTGCTAAAATTAGCATATAATTTCTTTTATCTTAATGTATGTAACGCAATTTTCAAATGTTGTTCATGTTACGATTTACTTCTTGAGTACACCAAAATGTCGTCAATAAGTATTATCATAAATTTATCCAAGTAAGGCTGAAATATCATATTCATTAATTCCACAAAGACAACTAATGTATTAGTCAAACCAAATTGCATTATTAAAAATTCATAATGGTCATACCTCATCTAAAAAGTTGTTTTAGGTATATCCGTCGTTGTTATCTTAAGTTGATGATAGCTAGACCTCATATCTATCTTGATGAATAATGTGCTCCCTAAAACCGATCAAATAAGCCATCCACTCAAGGTAATGAATATTTGTTCTTTACTATGATCTTATTTAGTTGCTTGTTATCAATATATAGCACTGAAAGTACCATATTTTTTTTTATAATTGAGTTTCCAAATAATACCAAAGCACTCCAAAGAGAAATATTAAGTCTAATACAATCCCATTTAATAAATCTTATAGCTGAGTTTTCAATTCCTTCAACTCAAGTGGTGTCATTCTATATAGTGGAATAGTGATAGATGTTGTATTTAGTAATAGTTCAATATTAAACTCTATATCTCTATCTAGTGGTAAACGTAGCAAATCGATTAGAAATACATTGGGGAACTCATTAACCATTGGTGTATTTTCAAGCTTTTCCTCCACAATACTAGTGTCTACAACATGTACCAAATATGCCTCACAACCCCCTCTAATCATTCCGAATGCACTCGACGAGTTAATATCAAGCAAGCGAGAACAATATGTCTTT